TCGGAAGCGTGGCCCCTGTGGCTGGAAGGACGTGCGAGCCAGGCCGTGCGGGTGCGGGGCCCGGGAGGAGGGCACTGGAACCAGAGTCGAGCCGGACAAGGAGACGCGGGTTGGAGTGAGGGTGCGCGGAAGGGCCGTTTGCGGGCGGGGAGGCGACACAGGAGGGGCTTGTTAATCGACGATGAGGGCCTCCGAGGAGCCGAGGCCCGAAAGCGGCCTTGGTTCTCTGCGAATTCGAAGACCCCCGACCTAAACTTGCAGAAAAGAAGCAAGTAAGCACTGCTGTTCGCAAAGATAGCAACCGTAGGCAGGATGTTTGGAAAGTTTCGGTGCTCCTCAAATTGCCAAGTCCTTCGTATTCATTGTCTTTAGACTTCACAATAACGCTGTTAGGCCAATAGAATTTCCATTTTGCAGTGCAGGAACCAGACTGAGAGAGGGTAAGTGCTACTCAGTCTTAGGAGACAACCCGTTTACGTGGGGAAATACAGCGGCGATGGATGAATGGCTGTAGAAAAGTCAGGACCGGGTGACATAGAGATAATGTGGTTGTGTAACTCCGTGATTTCTTGGTCAGCTTGTGCGTTACCGGGATTGGGATCCTACTCTTGCTGAACTGATACTTGGAAAGTACACATTTTATTTTAATAAACTGTTTCCAGTTAAACCTGTTTGGGAAGCTTTGCTGAAAAGAATGTTAGTTTGATTATGTAATAAACTGTTTATCATTTATATTGTTATTTCTCTTCTCCAGTGTGAATAATTGAGAAGTGACTGAAAACATTTTCCTTTTAGCATTAGTGTATAATTAGCTGTTCAATCAGTGTAACCAAGGCCCAGCTGATTTATGTTTAGCAGTTGTCAGAGATTTGCACGTAGTGTCTCTAGGAAAGACTTGCACTAGGTTATTTGTACTAGAAAGTCTTCTGTGAAGACGTGTGTGTTTATTTTTATTTGTATAAAGTTTCCCCAGTGAACCTAAAATTAAAAGGCCTTTTCAGAGTGAGCAGCAATACGCATTTATTTGAGATTTCAAAAAAAAGAAGAATGGCTCTTCTGGAATCACCGATTCAGGCAGAAACCCACGTAGTGTTTTAGTTAGGAAACAAAGAAAAGGGGTATTTAGGAGAAGGTGAAGGGGAACAATGACATCTAGAAGGAAGGCATTCTGTTGATGCAGGTAAGCTAACATTGTGATGCTAATTCTAGATAGTGTTTTTAATGTTAAGTCCTTAGTCATAGCTGCTTTCTTGTTTTCCTTGCAAAGGGTTCTTTGGGGCACAATGTTGCTTTAGGCCCAGAAAAGGTTATTTTGCCCTGTTTTAACATAACAAAGGCTTGAGGCATAAGGCGTGCAAGGCCTTCCTGTGGGCTGGCAGCTCCAGCTCTCTTTAATGTGACTCTTTATATTTTTACATCCCTGTTGGAGCAATTTCTTAGTCATTGTGGACTATAGCAGATTCTGGC